TGTAAAGACAACTGTTGACTTGGGTAGCTGGAGGCTAATTTCGAGTGGCAAGTGTGCTGCTGTGGAGCAGGCACTTCAACAGAGATCATTCGGTGTTGGCGGTTCTTTTTTAATGGCCTTAAATGAGCTGGTGGAATGAAAGGGTACTTGAGTGAATAAGGACTGGAGGAAGAATACTGTAATCCTCTGATAAGAGCGTCTGCCTCCTGTGCTGGAGCGGAGAGGAATCCCTCTCCTGGCCTACATTCTCTACTCCATGGGTTTTCGTTTTTTTTTTCTCTGCACTTCAGGCTCGAACTGAAGTGCGTGGCGTTACGTAGTGCTGCAGGATTCCCTGCAAATGAGACATCACACTAAAAATTGAAAGACGGACACGTATTGTGCGGCCATGATATTTCTATTAGGTTGTCTTTTTTTTCTTGCCTCTGATTCGAAAGGGTCAAATGGAAACTTGAGATCCTTAGGAGATCCTTTCCTATGCTCGTCGTAAAAAAATGTTTTTACGTGTTAAGTTTGTTGCAAACATATTAGCAGAGCTTGTAGTGTACAGTAATTCACATATGTGTATACATATATATGTATATATATATGTATATACATATATATATATATGTGTGTGTGTGTGTATCTGAATACCCGGGCTGAAATGATGTAAAAACTAGTAGGAAGGTGGTGATTTCTGTGCAGTTAATGTTCCTGGAAGCTGCTTATTTCAAAATAAAAGCACATAAAACACATATATAACATGTAATCAAACATTTAATGCCAATTTATCGGATTTTAATTTGTTTTAATCAGGGTTATTGATTAAGTTGACTAGTTGGTGTGGCATAAGTGTTCAAACCCCTGCCAAGGCTTTATTTCACGTCCTGCTACAGGATAGATAGATGGATGGATGGATGGATGGATGGATGGATGGGAATCAAGAACACTGGATTAAAGCAAAGATCAAGGGTACACACTAGAACTGATCAGCTCTTTCCTTCGAGAGGTCGTGGGGGTGGAGTTTGAAGAAAGTTAAAGTAAAAAATACACGACGGTCTGGCTGTTTTACTAGAAATCCTATTTCAAATCCTGTTTGTGTCAAGACAACTGCAGTGCCACTTGAGCAAATATGGAAAAATGATTTGCTGGTGTGTGTTAAAATACTCTGTAGCACTCTGTGTTTATTGAAAGTGGAACTGCTGGAACCACAAGATTAGAATTTTTTTTATTTTATTTTTTATTTTTTTTGTCTTTTAAAGGAGCTCATAAATGTGCTGCAGCTCATAAAAGTCTTATTTTTTTACTAACTTTATGTTTGAATCTGCAGTTTTAAACCTTGGCTGTGTATGATAACAACAACAACAACAATAATAATAACAATAATAATCTATTATTATTATTAATATTATCATTGTTATTAATCATTGTTATTATTATTACTATTATTATTATTTTTTAATTATTTTATTATTTTATTATTTATTATTATTATTATTATTATTATACAAAGGAGAATTAACATTTAGCACTGTTGTGAGTCTGACATTATAGAAATAATTATAAATCACTTAGACCACAGCAGTAAAACTCAGGCCCGTGGGCCAAATCTGGCCCCTGATCCTACGTTACATATCTAGAGAGAAGGGAAAACGTGCACATTTCCAGTCAATTTTTCAATAAATATTGAGCTTGGCCACCAGTTTTTTAATTTTGGCCCACTGTGAAATTGAGTTTGACACCCCTGCCTTGGACAGTAGTTGATCTTACATAACAAGGGCCTTTCTTTCTGCAATATAAAAACAAAGGCTGTAAAGCAGTTTTAAGAAATCACCACTAGTGTTAATATTTAACATTAAACATCATCATGAACTGACTTTTTGCGTATAAGTAACTCGGTAACAGCCATCAACACATTTATCCTTTTCTGCTGAGTTCTTTTTATAAAATGGTCCTGTAATTTTTCTTTTCCATTTTGGTCTGTGTGGAAAAAATACCAACTGTTTTTCTGCAGGACATTGACTTACTGACAAAATAGTTAAGGTTTAAACAAATTCAGTTCAAGTGTTGGACTTTTGATTCTTATAACCCAGGCGTGGGCAAACCTTATGACTCGCGGGCCACACTTGTGGGGGGGGGGGGGGGGGGGGGGGGCGGGTCAGGAGCAGATGGATGGAGCGTTCGTGTGAACTAAGATAAATGACATGTGAAAGTCATGCATAAAGGCAAAAATGCTAAAATGCTTTTAGCCTTCTCTACGCCATCTATAGGGAAAACGTGGGCATTGCAGAGAAAAGGCAGAAGTATAATCACAACACAAACAGACAAGTTTGGCGGGCCGAATTACAAAGCTGAACGGGCCACATCCGGCCCCCGGGCCTTAGTTTGCCCATGCCTGTTATAACCACTATGTTCAAAAAGTAATACTGGATGATTGCCATTCTCCGACACCTTTTGCCATCTTACGACACGGTGCTCGAGCGACCGAGCGAGCGCTTTATTACAGAGGCGTGCGCTCATTTTGCGATAAGAACTCCCCAGTGGGTCGAAGAGAATCTGGAATCTTTGATTCCAGATTCTAATCCCATTAGGGGCCCAGTGTGTTCCTGATTCAGTCGAACAAGCGTAATTGTTAATCGCTAATTAATTTCGTTTTTTTTTTTTTTTTCCATTCATCCAGCTCCTTATGTCTTCCTCTCTGGCTCTGTCATTTTTCTGTCTTTATTTGCTTATTCCACTTCTCTCTCTCTCTCTCTCTCTCTCTCTCTCTCTCTCCTCCCAGTGACTCCCCCTATGACTTGTTTCATTAGTGTCCATTATCTGTGGGGACAGCAAAAGAACGTTCAGAATCAGGATGTCAACAAGTAATTTCCTGCACTGGTTACAGGACACTGTGTGTGTGTGTTCGTGTTCCTGTGTGTGTGTGTGTCTGTCTGTGCATGTGTGTTTTTGGAGCTACTAATGAGCTACAAATCCCCGAGTTGTGTTGCTACCCAGGCTTCTGCTTATTCCCCAACATGAATCAAGGATTTACAGCACAGCAGCTGAAATATCTCTGTGTGTGTGTGTGTGTGTGTGTGTGTGTCGTGCCGGAGTGGAATCCCTTAAAGTAAGAAGGGGGTTCTACAACGCGAGTGGCAGCTAAAAGATTTCTGCTGAATACTAACCAGGGAGATTGTTTCATTTGTGCCAGGCTGTTTAATGTGTAATTGAATTCTTTAAATGACTGCAGTGTGAAACTGCACACAACGAGCCACAAGAAAGTCTCCCTCCGCCGTTTATGTGCCACTTTAAGCCTGTATAAAAAATCGGATTCTCGGCCTGACTGTGGAACAGTGCACTTTTAGGTGTCAGTTTTCACCTCAGCTGACCTGGGTTCAGTTTCAGGCCTGTCTGACAGTAGTCAGCAGCCTTTTCACTTAATAAAGGGAAAGTCAGTGCAGAGTTTGCATATTTTAAACAGCTCTTCTGTGGATTGTTGGAGTGTTGATGTCATACCTTTGTCGTAGGCTGTCGTAACATGCAGACTGGTTAGAACCAGTTGAGTTGCGAGGGGATGATTTTACATCCCAGCAAATGTTGCTTGAATCATATTTGGATTCACTTCTTTGCCTCGCAAACACGTAATGAAGTGAGAGTGAACTAGCGTAATTTCCAGCCGTATACGCCGCTACTTTTTTTCACATGCTTTAAACAATGATGCGGCTAATTTATGGATTTTTACAGGCAACGAAGTTCATACCGCTAGCGATAAATTACTTTTCTGGTAGGCTAGTGTGTGGTATACTAGTAGCGTATGTCTGTTTGGGAATGGCTGTGTGCATATATGTGTGTAGGGCGCCAGATAGAACGTTAGCTAAAGTTGACAGCAGTTGAAGTTGTTAAAACTCGGTTTGGCTCATAATAAAGACCCCAACTTCACTGTTTCTGTTTACCTCTGCTGTGGACAAGCACAAAGTGAAGGGAGTTAGCCCCGGAGCTGATGTTAGCTTTGGCCCCGGAGCGGATCACAAAGTCTCCCCTGTCCATTCCAACTACGGTCAGGGCTCCGACACAGGAAAGAGCTAACGTGTAACTAGCCGTGTTACAGTCACTGATCGTTACAGCTAGTTCACTTATACCTGAAACCTTCCGCTTCCTTAACCACCAAAGCACCACTGCCCCAAACTATAAGATTGTAGTTAATTGTTTCAAGTTTTCATCTTTTTCATTTTTGATATTTTATTTTGTGCTCGCTGAACCAACCCAGATTACCATGAATGTGGATTCTCCGAGTTGGGTTCATGACACGGTTGGTGCCTTTTTTCTCGTCACAGCAGAATATGACAGGGTCAAGCCTCACTTTGTCAGCTAACAAGCCGCACAGCTCTCACAGTGACACATGCTGTGCTTTCCGAGCCGAAAGCAGATCATTAGAGGAGAGGAGAGGAGACAGAAGGTGCAGTTTTATATAGCGGAGCAACAGAATTGTCCTTGGGTCAATGTTTTTTTTCAGCAACTTTCAAATTTGAACCTGCAACAATTGTCACTTGCAGCCTGGGTTTACAGTAATTATATTATATTCACACTGTTAAGATGCTGGTTTCGATGCCACTTAGTCGCCAAAGCCCTGGTTAGGTCGCATCAGGGGGAATAACTCTGACAAATCTCTACGTGGAATAGGGAAGTGAGGCTTCCCGCAGAAGCCCCCCCCCAAAAAAAACAACAAAAAACCACAATCAGGGATTCTCAAACTCTGGTCCGTGGACCGGTATCGGCACTTAGATAACTTGGTACCAGGCCACTGATATACTTCATTGTCATCGTAACAAGGGGTTACAAAGTAATCTGTCAAATTTTGAAATAATGTAAATAAATTGAGACTGCAATACTAACAGAAGTCTGAAAAATATTTTGGTACAAAAAAGTTTGGGGACCGCTGGACAACTCTGGCCAGACATGGTAGTTCAGGAACATGGTTTAAACATGTTTACAAGCACAAACAAATTGGAATGTTCACACCCTGTGTTTCATTTTCCTTTTTTTTTTTGTTCTACAGCTGTCAGTTACGTTTGTTGGACACAACAGGAAGTGTTAGCACATCTCGTTGGCACAGTTGTGGCCGTGTCACTGTTGAGTTCCTCCCACTGTGGGAAAGTTCTTGTGCAGTCCACGGCTCATGCTAACAGATTCCGCCGTGTGCGATCGCTGGCCAGCAATTCCAAACATACCGGCTGTCTCAGGTGTCCATGTCCGCTTCCTGCCCTTTTGGACATCACACACAGACACACTGACACCTTGGCCTCGGTGTCCACTCTTCTGTCTCCCCTGTGCTGATGGAGCAGTCAACGTCCACACAGCTGCCAACCGTATCAGGTTGCAGCACTCAGCCTGAAAATAGATGCCCAGATCATTAGCATCCGACATGATAACTAGTCCGCTTCCTGTTAAAGCTATGACGGGCGCGTGGGGTTACAGAGAGCAGAGGGGTTACTGGGAAACTGGCCGTGAAAAGAAAAAAAACAAAGATTACACAGTAGAATGTTAGGTAAACGTAATTCCATTCAATTTTGTTTGGTTGTTTCTTCAGACTTCTCGGTGACTGGTGAGTGTCTCTTCTGAGGAAACATGAAGCTCAGAACAGGGAGTGATAAGATGTTCCCTTTAAGGAGCACAGCCACACACTCTCTTCTCTTCTGTTGCAAAATGACTCATGTGACCGTAAAAGACTACTCCGGCCTTATCTCCCTGACTGTGGAAGTCATGTTCTGGTACATTTTGACTGGTTGGAAACAGCCAGGGTCAGGCGTGGGCAAACTTCTTTAACTCGCGGGCCACAGTGGGGTCCAAAAATTTGACGGGGGGGACCCGGGTCAGATGGAGCGTTCGTGTGAACTGAGACAAATGTCTTGCAGAAGTCATGCATAAAGGCTAATATGCTAAAATGCTTTTAGCCTTCTCTACGCCATCTATAGGGAAAATGTGGGCATTGCAGGGAAGAGGCAGAAGTATAATCACGAGACAATCCAATTACCGTATTTTCCGCACTATAAGGCGCACTTAAAAAACCTTTAAGCGAGCGTGTCTTATAACCCGGTGCGACTTATGTATTACTTCTGGTTGCGATTACTGAGCTCGAACTGATTTTATAAAGCCAAATTTTTTTAAAAAATTGATCAGGTTAAGAAACTCAGCTGCATGGACTTTATTAACCCTTGTGTTGTCTTTTAGGTCTAGGTGACACTGTGGCTGATAATAGACCTTTGTGTGTGTGTGTGTGGTCTTGTACTGCATGGCTTGTGCCAAGATGCAAACCTGTTGCAAGGACGCTGGGTGTGTACAAAATGCGAAGGACATCAGGCGGGGTTTGTTAAGCTCCACTGGGCCATGCAAAATGACTTAGTGGGCCGCGTTTTGGCCCCCGGGCCTTGACTTTGTCACATGGTCTAGATTAAGGTTGAAACTGGAGATTGTTTTTACTTTTTAGTAACAGTATTTATTTATCTTTAGCATGTCTTTTATTTACCTCAGGGGATCAAATTAGCCTGTTTTCTAAAGGTTTCACTCGTTGCACGACAAACCCTCCACTTGGGTTTTCTCCGTGGGAGGTACTGCGAAAACATTGGATACATATCTGATTCAACACCACGTGAGAGTGCACGTGGGTCGGATTTCGGAATATCTGATATGTGCCCTTCACAATGTCATCGAAATGAAATCAGATAGAGTTAGCTTTGCCTGCAGTTGGCACGTAGCCTAAGTGACGTCCCAAGAAAAATTCCAGCATTTCAGAAAATGTCTTAATTTCCAACCTAAAAAAACCACATTAATCCCATTCTGCCCTCTACTGTTACCTAGAAAGCAGTTAGACGTCCATTTTTCCCCTGTCCATTTTTTTTTACCTCTAATTGTTTCCACTACCTGATTGCATTCGCTGTGTGCAGACAGTCCAGAAAGTACAAACAAGAACATTACCATTTTCTGTTTGACTTTCTGACTTGAGCTCAATTCCCCCCCCCAGGTCGTTTCGATGTCAGGGAGGCTTGTGATCCTTCTGTGTCAGAGTTTAATAAAAAAGATTGAACGCTGGTGTGAAGCTAATGAGGCAGCAGTGAATTTGCCTCTCACCTTGACTCTTGGAAATGAGGTGCATCACAACTTTACAGAGTCATAACTGGGAGCCACAGTGGCTGTAGCTCAAACAGTAAAACTTTTTCCAAACGATATGCACGGCTATGCACTGGGGATATATTATTTGAACTACTTAGGTGTTTATTCCTCATTTAATCCAGCTTTTCCCCCCACCACTATTTATTTATCCCTCACGCCTTGTGCGTAATGTTTAACTCCTTTTTACTTACGGTGACTTATTATGGCTAGTTTCTACGTGGGCGTTGATTTGAGCATAAAATGTCACTGTTTGGTTAAGTCCCAGATACAAACAGGGGTAAAGATGTAAACAGATGTGTGTTTCATGATTAGTTGTCATCATTGATAATTGCGATTTATTGGGATTACTCAAGATTAATCATGGTTACTCAAGAATAATTGTGATATATTACAATTACTTACAATTAATCCACAGCTAACCTGTGATTAATAAGATTAATAAACGTTTGGAACCCCTACTTATGACATAAATTCCACCTCTCTTTGATTGGCTGTGATCATCATTAATAATTGCGATTAGTTGTGATTATTCGAGATTACTCTAGACTCGTTCCGATTAATTCCGATTAATTGCGATTAATTACATTTAATCCACAGCTAACCTTGGATTAATAAAATGAATAAATGTTTGGAAGCCCTAACTATGACACATATTTCACCTTTGTTTCTCGACTGTTTGGATCGACAGCAGCCACTTTGTTTCTTCTTTCAGTTCCTCTTCAGTCGTATTACGTTGAATTGTCATTTCGAAACACTGTTTTTGAAGGGTTTTTTTGTTGTTGTTGTTGTTACAATTTCCTTCAAAAGTGCTTCCTGGAATTGTGAGAAGAAGTTGAATCATCGCCGGTTCTACAAGTTGACTGATAGCGTTCACTCCAAATGAAAACGAACACACAATTTGCAAAAGTCAGCTCTCAGCTGGTCGATTCAGCGGGCGAAAAAAATTAGTCATTTCTGAGTCAGAGTCATTTACAGTCTGTGGCTTCGTGGAAAGAGGCTCTTCTCTGGTGAGTAGGTGTTCATCAGGCCTATTTCTGGCTGAAGTGCCGGCAGACAAGCTCAAGTGTTTCCCTCTCTCTCTCTCTTTCACACACGCTCTCACACACACACACACACACACAAATGCACACCATAACTGTCACTATGGCAACTAGTTCCAGCATTGCCAGACTTGCGATGAGTGTTTATTTATGAGATTTTCTCCCTGCATTAACATACATTTGTTTGTTAACACGTGTTTATGTCTTTGCATATGTGATGTTAGGACATCCAGTGACTCCACGCTTCTACCAGACACTGTGGAGCAGATTGTTTGTTTTTTTTTTTTTTTTAATTACACTCAAAGGAATTTTCACAGCTAACATGTAAAATGAAAGACTAAGTAAGGACCTGATTTCTTCATAATAGTTCAAGCCTTAAAAAAGCTTTAAAAGGCAGAAAGCTGATTAGGACCAGGCACTCGAGATGATTCACTAACTGAGCATGACCGCGTCTGAAAACATCTCCACTTTTCGGATTTCCACACCCTGGATATTCTGCTCAAGTTTCGTTTTATGAGCTGCTAGGAGAGAAAACTTTGATCGAAAACTTTTGCACTATATCATCTCGAACGCCAGTCAGAGATCCTGTTGAGCAGTTTGAAAACAGCGATGGCTGCTGTGAAAGGTTAACTTAGTGAGTGTCAGTCTCAGGGCTGTGACAGTAAATCTCGTGGAAACTTTTGCAGTCCCCCAATGTCACCTTTGAAAAGCCATCAATCTACCAAGTGTTGGTCTTCCATCCACATGATGTTTAGTGTTGCCTTTTGTACATCCTTCAGGGAGAAAGCTAAAGTAAATGTAGCCGGAATTAGCAGTTAGCCTCAGGCTCAATGTGCTGTATGTATCTGTATACGGTGATACGTCGGGTCACGAACGTTCATATTCACGAACAAATCGGACTAAAAGCATTATTTTTCGATAATCCGTTTCACGAGCAATGCTTCGAGTCACACGCACACATGAGACGCCCAGCCACTCCCCCAGTTCTCGTGCATTTAGTGTCCAAACATCAAGTTTGATATCGTCATTAACGTGTGTCGATAATTTTTTTTTTCGTGATTTCATTAAATGTATCCCTTTTTATGGCGCCCAAAAAAGTGAACACTGTTAACACTAGTAAAAGTGGTGTTTAGACTCCTAAAAAATCAAAATAATGGCTAAACATGAAACATGTTGTGTTCATGTTTCGGATACCGCCAAGAAGTACAACATGGTTAAATCTACGATCTGCACTATTCTGAAGAATAAAAATGCGTTCAGGAAAGCTGATGTAGCTAAAGTTATATTTATTTATTTTCTGTGTTATGTCCACACATAAAGCCATTAAAAGTTAAAAAAAAAAGTTTATAAGCCAAAGAACGGATTAACTGGGTTTACATTAATTGCACTTGGAAAAATGATTCGGGTTACGAACCTTTTGGGTTGCAAACAGAGTCAAATAACGCAATAAGGTATGATTGTATTAAACATTAAACATTTAAATCATTGCCATGTGTCTTAAGCTGATAATAGATGATGATAGACAGAGAAAAACCATTCTGAAAACAATTTATTTTCAAACTGATGCCTGCAGCAAATGGACGCAACAAAGGATGAGAAGACAAATGGACCAATAAAATACAAAAGTAACATTAAAAATAGTTCAATTGGTCATTTTAGTCAAGCCTCCTTTCTGACAACTCTGTTCCCTTCCTTTCATTTAAAACTGAGAACATCATTTTCCCCTGCATGGATTTTCAATTAGAGCTTCTGCTAAGATGTGATAACTGTAAACATCCTCGGCAAACATTAGTGTCTTAGTATTGATGCTGTGATCGTGTTCCCATGTTGACTCTAGGCTTTAGCTCAAAGCACCACAGTGTCTCAGCGCAGCCTCAGACAAACAGAGAACGCAATTTCACCCTGTCTCCCGGTTCTGCCTCGTATTTACAACAGGGGCTTCTGATCAACCGTCTGCTGTGCACAGACTTCCTGTTCCAGCACAAATCTCTGGAAGTTGGTTAAAATCGAGAGCAGTATATGAACTCATGGTCTATGTTGTTGTCTTTTTGACTAATTCGTTATGTACTGAAATCCTGAAGAGAGTAAAGATACCATCCATCCATCCGTTGTCCTCTATCTCTCTATCTATCTATCTATATATCTATCTATCTATATA